CGTGTCTCCTGAGCGGCGGCGGCCGGCAGGGAGCTGTTGCCTTGTGTCAGCCACCGCCCCCGTCAGTAACTAGAACGTGCGCTTGAAGCTTTAACTGTTCTGCGCCCTCTTCTCTGTTCCGTGTCGCTTGGATCCACGAGCGTGTGTTTTCATTTGCTCTGTGCCTTGTCAGAAGGAGAAAAAGGAGAAGAAATCTAAACGCCGGGACAAGTTTCAGAGGGGAAAGACTCAGACAGATGACAGCGAGGAATCGGATGAGGAGCGTTATGCCCCGAAAGCCAAGAAATCAAAGAGTGTCAGTAAACAGAACGGTCACACGAAAGAGGAGAGCGTGGAGAAATCGAGATTGTCCTTAAGCAGCAAATCCTCCCGCAGGAGCCGGCAGAGCAGTTCCAGTGAAACGTCAAGCGAGAGCGACAGTGAGAGCGAGCAGGATCAGGTAAAGCTCATGGCTGGTTTTAGTCATAGAGGTGTGTTAGGGCTTTTAACTCCTGCAATGTAGCACACCCAAATTTAGAAGGGTTATATTGAATTTCATCCCCTTTTCCAAATCAGTCCAAAGTGCTGTAAAATGTCAAGATTTAAAGTCCTTGAATTGCTCAGTCTGCTAAGAATTTTCAGGAGTTTTTAATTATGAAAGTGCTGAGGTGTTGGAGCATTGCATCGTGGTTTCCTCACTTCAGCAGCCTGGTGCTGTGGGGCTGTTGCTGGACAGACAGATTGCACTGAGATAGAGTTAAAATATGATCCAGCATCACGAGGTGTGTGTGATTTTTGGGATTGTCCTGCACAGAGCCTGGAGTTGGACTTGGTGATCCTTGTGGGTCCCTTCCAATTAATGATATTTTATAATTCTAATTCATTGTTTGCAGTTTTGGTTTGAGTGTTTTGCTTCACTGTGCTGTTAGATATGAAACAGCCTTAACCTACAGATCACTTTTGCTAACTTTGTCCAGGTTTGAAATAAGATGTTAAAACAAGGCTCTTTAGCCACAGCTGTGACACTGTCCCTGAAGAGTATGACACTAGTGCCTGTGCTGAATTTACTTGAATTACCTTGAATTTACTGACAGTCATGTGATATTCATGTGGAATCTTACCTGAGTTATTGTTTACCTAACAGGAGTTGACTGGAGAACAGAAGGAGGGTGCTTTCTCCAATTTTGCTATTTCCAAAGAAACTGTCCAGCTTCTTCAAGGTAAGTTTCTTGGCAAGGTGTGACCATAGAATGTTGTGTTTTTATGCTCAAACCCCCGTGATCAATAAGCTTTGAGATGTGCTCTGCTCGTGCCCATACCAGCAGGGATGCTGTGCAGCAGCCATTGATTGCCTGCTCTAAATACACCTTTGAGCACACAATTTCCTGTTTGCAGTGTTGTCCAGTTCAGCCTTTGCAATAAAATTCTAAACTACATGAGCCAAGGAAAAAAATTATATGTGAGAACTTTTCAGTTAAAGGTTATTTTGGTGTGAATAAAGGAAAACCAATTATATTTAGTATCTGAATTAGTAAAAATTAAGAACAGAAGGGATTTTGAGGTGTGAATTATTTGAAAGGAAGAGGTTTTCACAGATAGCTGAGGAGTATTGCATAAATAAAGGCACAGTGCTGACAGTCTCTCATAAAGGCTGATAACTTCCTCTGTCCTAGCTAGCACTGTGTCTGGTGGGGTGAAGTGGCAGAATAAAACTGACAGTCCCAGGGCTCTCTTTGCACATGACTCATCTGATCAAATAACTCAGTGGGGGTGATGATACACTCCTGACATACTTTAGAGTTGATGGCAGTTCTTCTTACAATAATTTTGCAATGATTTCCAGTGAAGAGTATGAAAGAACAGTTGTAAAATGACCATGTTAAGGAACTCTCTTGCAATTGCCCCAGCTCGAGGAGTGACGTACCTGTTCCCTGTGCAAGTGAAGACCTTCAACCCCGTGTATTCTGGCAAGGATGTCATTGCTCAGGCACGGACTGGGACAGGGAAAACATTCTCCTTTGCCATTCCCTTGATTGAGAAGCTTCAGGGAGACTCACAGGAAAGAAGAAGAGGCCGTCCACCAAAGGTAACTGTGCCTGCCTAGGATGGTGATTTGCTTTGTCTGACATCTGAATGATTCAGGTATTTCAGGTCTGTGCAGGGCTAAGCTAACCCACATTAAAGGGGATTTGAAAGCTGTGTCCACTGCATCCTGTGCTGCCTCCCAGCCTCTGAGGAAGAACAAGCAGCTCAACAGCTCTATCCACTTGTCAGTTCCTTTTTCTGCCACAGGGAGACCAAAACTACAGGTGGACAACATGTTCCTGTGTAATTCTGCTCAGTCACGTTACCAGTTGAGGGCTAGTGGCTCCTGGATGCTTATTTTTCTCCTGAATTGCTAACAGATTAGTTACTAATTGTAACTTGACAGCTTGTTAAAAGCTGTCTACTCAAACATGTTTCTTTCTAAAACACGTAAACAGTGGGAGGTTTTAAAAATAGACTTAGTTTCACTAGGAACACCACCAAATGTTGAAGCTTCTGCTCCAGGGAATGC